TCCTTGAAGGCCTGACTCGCCCATATAATAGTGTTGGAAGGAGGTGAGGTCTTTGGGATACAATGATGTTTAGATGAGGTCATGGGGGTGGAACCCCATGATGGGGTTGGGGTTCTTATAACACAAAGTGACCAAAGAGCTTTCTCTACTTGCATGAGGTAACACAGCAGGAAGGCAGCTGTCCAGGAGCCAGGACAGGGTCAGCACCAAGAAGCACACAAGCACTTTAATGCCAGCATTCCCCACTCAGGACCGAGATGACCAAACGTTCCCGTAAGTCACCCAGTCGGAGACCATGTCACAACAGTCTGAGCAGACCTAACATGTTGAGGAAGGAAGTGCAGATGTCTCCTGCATGATGGCAGGTGGTTCTCAGGGCTAATTTGATTTACAGGTTTTCAACTTCAAAGTTGTGCGAAAGCTACATCTATCTCATACCAACTTCATGCTGGGCTTTGATCTTCTCCCAGGCTGGCTATGTGGTGAGTACCCTTTCCTAACACTGGGTGGTATCGGCATAAACTATAGCTACAGATCAGCCATGGGAGCACAAGAGGGAGAAACAAAATGTTCACTAGTGTTCTCCATGCCTCCATGGTGCTCAACCAGACCCTAGTCGGTGAAGTGTATTAAATACATCTTTTGACTTAATGATATTTTCAACTTAGCATGAATGAGTTGGAGAGTAATTCATAATAAGTCAAGGAACATCTGTATACTGAAAGAGGGGTTATCTCTGTGTGCTAATATATGAAAAGATCTGAAATTTTTGTTAAATGTGCTCAGTGTGAGAGACTAAAACACATGAATGCCACTAGGAAAATAAAACAGTAAATACTTTCCCTTTCTTTCTGTGGTCCAGACACTGTGGTCATTTCATTTTGTCACTTCTCATCCGAGGGAGAAGTTCTGCTCTATCTCTGCTCTGTAGGAGAGGGAAGGAAGACTTGGGGGACTTAGGGGGTCTTAGTTACTGTTTCTATTGCTGTGAGAAAACACCGTGACCGAAACAACTTGGGGAGGAAAGGGTTTATTTGGCTTACAGCTCTCAGGTCACACTCCATCACTGAAGGAAGCCAGGGCCGGAAGTCAAGGCAAGAACCTGGAGGTGGGAAGCGAAGTACACCCGATAGAGCTGTGTGGCTTCCTGGGCAGCTTTCTCCTACACCCCAGGACCATCTGCCTGGGGTGATCCCACCCACAATGGGCCATGTCCTCTCACATCAACCATCAATCAAAAACCAAAAATGTTCCACAGGTCTATCTGGCAGGGCATTTTCTCTATTTCCCCTCTTCCCAATGATTCTAGCTTGTGTTGAGTTGACATAAAACTAGCTAGGACATTAGGTGACATTCCCAAATATTAAGGATGCAAATTTGTATGTGGAAACACACTTTTTTTTTTTTTTCGAGACAGGGATTATCTATGTAGTTTTAGTGCCTCTCCTGGATCTCACTCTGTAGACTAGGCTGGCCTTGAACTCACAGAGATGCACCTGCCTCCACCTCCTGAGTGCTGGGATTAAAGGCATGCGCCATCACCACCCAGCATGGAAACACACTTAAGGAGCAACAGGGAAGAGCCTAGGAATGGGAAATGGCATAAGACGGGAGCCTTATTTAATGTATAGAAGTTAGGTCTAGATACATCTTCCTATCTAGTCTACCTCACAGGCTTGCCTAGGATGTAACCCATTTGAAAGGACCCGAAAAATCACCTAGAACTGTACTAATGAAGACCAGGTATTCACTATCTTATCAAGATATAATGTACTTATTTTCAAGTTCTCTCATCAAATCTTCTTTGACTAAAGAAGGGCACAGGCATCTAGGAGGGGAAGACCAGTTGAGCTAACTATGGCGCCTCCACACTGAAAAACTGTGTAACAGGTAAAGACCCAGGCAGCGATCGCATTGTCTGGCCCTCAGACTGCTCTGTGGAAATGTAGCACAAAGCAGATGAGTAACTACACTTCATCTGTGGGGTCCTTGAGGGCTAGAGTCTGAGTATAAAGGAAGGAGGAAAGGGGGCAAGTAAGACGAGATTGAGGAAGAGCTCCCAGTAATTCTAAATCTCAAACGAAAGTATCAACATGAACTCATGATCTCTCTCTCTCTACACACACACACACACACACACACACACACACACACACACACACACACACACACACACGGAACCATTTGCCACTAAGAAGAATGGAGGGTCCTTAGAGACAGGGCTTTTTCCAGGTCTAGGACAGTACACAGGACTGTGGAGGCTCCTTGCTATTCGGATGACCTTAAAGATTAACGGGGTCACCTCAGAAAGAGTCTCAACTGGCTCGAGATGGTAAAACCCATGCATCAATAAAAATAAGCAGTAAAATAGATCATAAAACACATCAAATGTGTTTAAATTCATGAGTTTAAAAGACATTGGAAACAAAACAAAAACTCCAGTCAGCCACCAAATGAAGATGATATCAAGCCACTCACTGTGCTGGAAACCAGCAACAAAGAAGGAATCAGGCAGAGAGAGAAACATGGAGGCCAAAGCGGAAGGGAAGGAAGGGGCGGGGGAGGAATCAAACATTCTTCCATTCTTCTTACGTGAACGGCGATACTAACTAGTTCATTAGCTAGGAGTTGAGAGGAGCACCTCCTTTTGGAAGCCTTGCAGCTCATCAACAAGGAGAGAAAGATAAAATGAGAACATCACCATTTCACAACCCTAAGTGACGAATGGACTTCAGCAAGACACACCCCCAAAGTGGTTAAAATCACACACACACACACACACACACACACACACACACACACACACACACACACAAGAAAGGTGGACATCATTGCATGCCTCCTAATAGGACAGCACATCGAAGTCCACAAAAGTCAAAAGCTAAATCTGGTTAACTATCAAAATCAAACACCCAGTTGACAGGAAATGTGAGTGTTAGAACATGTTGTGTAGCACCACAGGGCTATCACTAGAAAGATCCAGACGGGAACCTTCATAGGATGAAACATCTAACTTCCTCCAACATACACAGGGGGCGGGGAGGGGGATTTCATCAAATATGCATGGGGGAGGGGCAGAGAGAGGAGAGAGAGAAAGATAAAGTATAATTAAAGAACACTCATGTTGGCCTACAGTACTGTGCAGCCCTTATTTGGAATCTGATTTTTAAATGGTGTTTTAAAAATCATTTATGGGACTATTAAAGGTACGTACACTTGCCTGATGGCATTAAGGAGTCATTGACATTTTATTAAATTGCAATAATGGCTTTGTGGCAATTTAAAACAAAAAGGGTATTCTCCCAACACAGCAGCAGGTGAAAATGCAGGTGGGGTACTGCTCAAAGGAGGTCGGTCATGTACTGATGACCGTTGAGATTGGATGAAGGCTCATAAAAGTTTGTGTTTCTGCTCATCCCCTGGTTTATGTTCAAGAGTTCCCATAGGAAAATGCTAAAGAAAACCCTCCCTGTGCTGTGCTGGGAGTGAGACACAGAGACTGGGAGCTTCAAGGCTTGACATCAGGGTCTCTTTCTGGAGTTTCATAACCTTCTAACCTCACGATGGCTTCCGTGTTTCAGGCCATCTGTGCAAGGGGTCCCCAAAGAACTTCTCCATCCCCCTTCTTACTGAGTCCCATCAACATTGTCCTTGAGAGCATATATATATATATATATATATATATATATATATATATATATATATATATACACACACAAAACTATGCTGGGGGAGGGGGAAGAGTCCTCATGATTTAGGGATTTTACTCCAAAGCTACAAAGAGCACAAGGGTCTCATGTTGTCATAGGGAGGAGACTGAATGCTTGGGAACCAAATCTGCCCAGCACAGACATTCATTCAGCGGCATCCATGATGGAGGAGAGAAGAGGTATGTGATAGCTTTTTTCAGTCTGAGGTCTTGACAAGGGACACTGGTTACAGCCTCATGCCATTGTCTGCGTGGGTGTAACTATCCTAAGTGAGATGTCAATGGCAGGGCAAGTCTCTTGCATCTTCTGCCCACAGCACTGGTGAGCATCCTAACAGTGCCCTGCAGGGTTGAGTCCTTCCTCTGGGGTCTTCGCTTAATCCCAGAGCCCACTGCTTTGGGGTCTTCTCACACTGCTAAAATGGACAAATAGTTATTTGTCCGTCTCTCACCTGGCCCCGAGCCTTGCTGAGGACCAGGGGCTTTCGTCTGTTCATTGTGGTGTCTATCCAGAGCGTGGAGTATGGAGCTGCTCAGAAAACACTAACTGCATGGGGGTGGTCACCATGGAAGCAGTGTAGTGTGTGGGCATCACAGTTGGACAGGCATGGGCTTGACTCTTGACTCAACCGACTCACAATTCCTACTTTAGTGATGTTGCATTGTTGTTTTGAATCTACTCCTGGCCTTGTATGAGAGTTTCTATTTTGTACAATATTTTTTTTTCCTGGAAAAGATAAGGCAAATAAAAATGGTCCCACAACCCATAGTGGTTTGACTTATAACACCTTGGCTTTACAATGGCGCATAGGGAACGGGCACTCAAAAGAAGCCAGATTTCAGATCTGGATCTTTCTCTGACTAGTGTTGTTCGGCCTGATCCTCCTTCTAGATGCTGGGAAGGGAGTCAGCTGAAGCTCCCAGTCGGCCTGTGCTCCTGAGGGAAAGGGCGAATCCCTCCCAGTGTTCTGTGAATGGTAAACTGTGAGGTGTACCGAGTGCACTTTCATAGGCTGTTTTAACTTAGGACAAGTTTACCAGGGTGCAGTCCCAGCTAGTAGTCTAAGTTGAAGAACAGCAACTCTCTGTCTCTGTGTAGTAACGCAACCTAAGGAAAAGATCGCAGAATTTCACCATGCACTTATCTGGAATAGGTTCTACTGACTGACTCGTAAATAGTAACAGCCGATATTCTAACTCTTCATAAAACCTCTGACTTGTACCAAAGGGTAGAGTTGTGAAGTGGTTAAGGGCCGCCTTATGGCACGACGATCTGGGTCACTGAGCAAACCTGGGCGTCTTCAAATGTGTATCTCCCTCCATCTTTGACATTCTGACTGGTTATCTCATAGCTGTGAGAGTCCAGGTTGATTGCACTCGGGGCCCCAGGAGCTAGAAACTCCTGCCAGATCTCCTCCACCCTCTTGGCCACGTCCTGCAGAGGTTGCTTCTTGAGATCTTGGACAGCCAGCCAGAACCTGGAGGGAAAGCAGAAACACTGTTAATTCTGTCTGGACTCTGCTAGAGATGGTCCCAGAGCTGACGTGCATCCCCATGCCTGCCTCGACGCCATGTGTGAGTTCCATGGGTTCTGCCAAAAGTCCAGGGTGTCTTGTTGAGGAGAGAAAAACAGCGCATGTGAGAAGATGAGCTTCCAGAGACCACAAGAAGTTCCTTTGCCTCTGCACAGGGAGTTTTCAACCCCAGCACAATGGCCATTCAGGCTGGGGGACTCCTGTATGTGTGGAAGGGTTGTTTTGTAGAACACTAAGCAGCCACTTACTCCCAGCCTACTCAACGTCATCAGCATCCGTTCAGCTACAGCCACCAGCAGGTATCTCCAGACATTACCAAATACTCCTGGGAAGTACAAATTCTGCCGGGCTGAAAAGCAGCTACTTTTCATTCAGGTTCCTACATAATGTGAGTTCCTTTGTCAGATCTGGCTTGGGGTCATTTGGGGGGCATCAAAATAAGGAAAAGGAGCTTAGAGCGGGGGACGCAGTAAGCACTCCAGAGGAGCTGGGCTCGGTTCCCAGCACCCACACTGGGCAGCTCACAACTGCCTGTAACCCCAGTTCTAGGGGATCCAGTTCCCTCTCCTGGCTGCCACAGGTACTTGTGGGGCACAGACAGACAGGCAGGCATGTACACATGCACAGGGGAAAAATCAATAAAATAAAATTTAAAAAGGGACATGTCACAGAAGTAGGCAGAACCTTGGAATTATAAAAGATACTTGGTCTGGAATGAATCAGCCATTCATGTTAGAGAGAAACAAACAGAGCCATTCACATCAGTACTCCACACGGTGCTGGGCACTTAGTAGGTATTCAGTACTCATCATGGTGCTGGGCACTTAGTGGGTCTTCAGTACTCAACATGGTGCCAGGTACTTAGAAGGTATTCAGTACTCAACATGGTGCTGGGTACTTAGTGGGTCTTCAGTGCTCATCATGGTGCTGGGAACTTAGTGGGTCTTCATTACTTAACATGGTGCTGGGCACTTAGTAGGTATTCCATAAACAGGTTTGGAGAGGGTTTGTCTCAAACAGAGCTGGAGGGACATCTCTAACAAAAGATTCTCTAGGGAGTGTGAGAGAAAAATGTCTCCCTCACTTCCCATCACCTCCCCCATCGTCCCCGAGCATCTGCCGGGGAACAGGGCCCTTGACAAGTCCCATATGAGCACTGTACGCAGAGAGCTGAAGTCACCAGAGCCAAGGCAGCTCCCAGGTCCTGAGGGTGGACCCAGGGCATCCTGGCACAGGGACCCAGGGCTGGGTAGCACATTCTCCCCTGCAAAGTGGACAGGCCAGTGTCCCCAGTGAGGTACTGCAGGCTCCATGCTGTATGGGTTGCACAGCCACAGGAAATAAAACACTTAATCTTGTCAGTGAATAGAGAGGATGAACACATGAACCACAAGGTAGGAAGTACATTCAATCTGCCACTGAATTTCATCCAGAGTAAGATGTACTTGTTTTTGTTGTTGTTGTTGTTATTATTTTAAAGGGTTAGCATGTTTTTCTGCAGGCTCTGGGAAATGTTATTGAAATCTAATGTGTGGCCCAAAGGTGCCACCCAGCGGCAGACTGAAGTACTGCAGCCACATTTCTCAAAGGAACGTTTGGGAATGTTTGTTTTCAGAATGTCAGGCTCTAACTTTCCTGGCTTGCTTTTTAGGAATCTAATGATATTCTCATTCTCTCTCTCTCTCTCTCTCTCTCTCTCTCTCTCTCTCTCTCTCTCTCTCTTTTTGTTGTTGTTGTTGTTTTCCAAGACAGTGTTTCTCTCAGCAGCCAGCCCTGGCTGCCCTGGAACTAAAGAAATGCCCCCTCCCTGAACCTGAAGATCAAAGAGGATAAAGAAGATGAGAACATCCCTCTACCTGGAGAACAGGGAATTTGGTTCTCAGCCTGGCTATGTTCTGTCTGGAATTGGACCTTCCCAGGGAGTCTTTCATCACCTGGAAAATGGGTACAAGTGGGTGAAGGGGGGTGCAGCAAAGTTCTGAACGATTTCCCAGCCAGACTTAACTCTGAAATGCTTCCAGGCCCCTGGGTGTGGGCCGAGGAACAGCCAGTGAGTAGCAGGCCAGTCAACGGCTCCCAAATGGAGCATTTACGATTTAACCCTTTTTCCAACGGTGGTCTGGGAAGATGCCGCCAGGCCTCTGGCTCATGTTCTGTATCATTTTCTGCCTTTCAACACCTGCCCTCCTTGGTGCTCATGTCCTTCTGGCCTCCAGGGAGAAGAGTTCACAGAGCTTTATGGAACTCACTGAGCCAACTCAGAAGCAGGGAGTGATCTCTGGGCCAAGGCTCTGCCTGTGGAAGCCTTCTGGGTCAGCAGTGTGCTGCACCGGTGTGGCCTCTGTGACTCCTCACATACATAGATGGTACACGGGTGATTTTTTTTCCCACCTCCTCTACCAATGTGACGTTCAAAGTCATCTTCTGCCATCTCTGTCCCTTGCTAGTCTGGTCTGCTGTATGGGGAGCCGTGGAGAAAGGCATGGGAAGGTCCCAGGATCTCGGAAGTGTCTACACTCTGCAGGCTCCCAGTGACTCCAGGGAGCCTCAGGATCCCTTTTGCAGAATGACATAAGGGGCACTGTGCTGCACATCCCTAACCTGAGCCCACGGGGGTGGAGTGGATGTCAAAGCAAATTTCAGAATCAAATTGAATACATTCTTACATTGAAAAAAACCAAACAAACAAACAAATAATCCCCAAAGATTTCCTCCATCGATTAAAGCTGAGAATCTTTGTTTTAAAGGCACGAGGAAAAACAGCGGGCATGTCATGGGAGGGCTTGGAGAAGGGGAAGTGAGGTGGGGAGGGGAGGGCACACAGTGTGTAAGAGTGACATTCCCTCGACAGCTTTCTCTTCCTCTGTACACAGGACTCGGCCGGCCTTCTGTCTGCCTTGGAGATGACCTACCTTGTCCCTCCTAGGTGACAGCCAAAATGTTGTCACAACAACAGCCTGACATCTCAGGTGTATTTATCATCTTGGCTTGGAGGAACCTTTTGTGGCGATTTGAAATTCAGAACAGGCTGTCATTTGTGCGCGCCATCTTCCCGCTCCAATGGTCTGGGCTGAACTGGGAGCTGAGGCCAACGCCCCCCACCCCCCCACCCCCCATCCACTGTCACCAAAAGAGCCACAAAAAAAAACTCTCCACACATCCTCTGGTGGATGGGTGGCCCATTGAGGACAGAGAAATGGCCGCTCTTATCAAAAGCCTGTAGGTAGCATTCCTTCAAGGAAGCAGTTAGGCATCAAATGCCAGCAGCTGCATCAAAGGCAACCATCCTGCACTAAGCCCTCGGCTGGAAGCAGGGAGCCTCAGGGACTGGCGGGGCACAGGGGCTCCAGTGTGTGCAGAGACCACCTGGCCTGCCTCTCTGCTAGTCACTGCCAATTGTCAGAACAGCGAGAGGCAGCCCTGTGCTGGCATTTGATCTGCGCTAATGGCTTAGAAATGAATGCAGAGGAGGAAATTGGCCTGGGGGTGGGGGTAGCCTGCACTAGGGTGAAGCGTCTGGGGCCCACAGGACCGGAGGGTGGTCCAGGGATGCTTCACTTGCCTCCTTACTCCTGGACAAGCAGTTGGATTGTCTGGCCCGACTGACGAGAGCCAGAGAAGCCATGAGTCATCGACCATTTTCCATCCCATCAGGAGGTCCTCGCAGCTCTGCACTTCCTGGCTCACCTAGCTTTTCACAGAATGTTCAGAAGCTACTAAACACAACCCTGGGCTGCTTCCCAGAGAAAAGTGAACTCCGTGGCAGAAGGAAGTGTTGCTGTGCCCTCTGCTGGTCATCGGGTGACGCAGACCGATGGACAGAACTGGATTGTTTTGTCTCTGTCTGGGCTGGCCGCGATGCTCAGGTACCCACATAAGCAGCTAGCATCAACACCACCCATGCTGAGCTCTGCACTGGACAGGAGCCAAACTGCTGCAGATGGCCACAGCCTTGCCGGAGTCACTTGATTTGTCACGTGTTTGGCTAGGTGGGACCCCTCACTGGGCCTAATGAAACTTCTGGGGGGTGTTCCTAGGGCTTGAGGCAACTACTGAAGCTAGAGCGGGAGCTAGAACTCTTGAGGCAAAACCTGGCAGCCCCCCTGCACTTGCTTTTAATTGCTTCTCCCTTCAGCGGACACCGTGTGGAAGTAGGGTCATCAATCTGCAGGTTAGAAGAACAACTCCGCTCTCTCAGGAGATGTTACAGCTCATAAAAAATGTAGGGGGGGATGCTCTTTGTTGCGGGTTTTGAATTTTAACTCGTGCCCTGCTGTGTGGCAGAGGGTGTCGTGCCAGGCAGGACAAAGGTTTATACAGGAAGATGGGGCGGGAGCAGGGGCCAATGGCACTGTCACCACTGGGGGAAAATCCACAGAACAGGCAAAAGGATGAAGTCAACTCTGTAGGGCTAGCTTTGGGGCTGTGAAGCTCCCGGCCTGCTGGCCCAGTTACCACACACCCTCCTTAGGCAGCTCAGCCCTGGGAAGGCTTGGGTGGTTATAACAAGAGGGGGAGCAGCCTCTGATGTAGACGGTCACAACAAAGCATGGCTTGTTGGACCTGTCCCCTCTCCTGTCCCTAGAGAGGACAGCCCTCAGTCATCTCACAGACTCACCCAGGAGAAAATGATCAGGAGCAGGGCTGAGTAAAGTGTTTCCTGCACAAGCATGGGGAACTGAGTTCACATCCCCAGCACCCATGAAAGGCCAGGTATGACAGTGTGTGCACACGAAATCCTAATGCCGGGGGGTGTGGAGACAGGAGGATCCCAGGGTTTGCTGGCCAGTCTACCAAATCAATTAACTACACATTAAAAAAAAATAAGGTGGAGAGTGTTCAATAAAACATTTAATGTCTACCTCTGGTTCCTGCACACTTATTCATGCACACTCATGTGCATACACATGCATGCATTCACATATCTGTATGAACACACACACACACACACACACACACACACACACACACACACACACACACTGATCAGAGGGGCCTCTCTATGCTACTAAGTCACCACAGGACACTTCCTTTGAAAGGTCTAGGCAGTACTTTGGGGACCCTCTCTTCCTTATTCTGAAGCTCTGGTATGATTTCTACCAATCATGGTAGAAATGGCTACTTGGCTGGCACCCCATGTGCTGTGCCCAGTAAGACCAAATGAAGTGTTCCTTCTCCTGGAGAGACTCGAGAGATTCCAGAAGACAGAAGCAGAAAAGCACTTTGCAATACCCCGCTCCTTCCCTTCCTTTCTCCTGTTTTGATCCCAGTACCTTGGGTTCATGACCAGCAATGAGGAGAAGGGACAACCCAGCAAGGACCAAGGCAACGGGTGACCGGGAACCTCAGCTGTACATTTTCCTCACCTCCCCCAGGAGCCACTGTGCACAAGGACCATGACAGAGATGCATCTGGCCAGCCATGCATGGCAACTATGGACAAGGGGCAGAGCCAGATTAACCCTGAGCCGTTGGGACCTGGGTCCTGGGAGGGCTTAGCCATGGTCTGTGGCTGAAGGAATGAACAGAGGGGAAGGAAAGCAGCTCTTTGGTGATAAGAGACTGAAGGGTCTTCCAGTGGTGTGGCTTAAAGCTGAACTTTCCTCCCTGTATCCAGTTAGGCTGAATACCATCAACATGGAGCTGGGGTCTCCGGGGAGGATTTCGGAAGCTCCTGGGCTGCACTTTTTCACCCTGCCATCCTATTTTCTTTATCCTCCTTCCTGTCATGGATCAGAAGGGACCTTCTTTAAGTCTGGATTTATGCATGCGCGCTGGGGGCTGGCGCATTCACACATGTGCACGCACATTCTTTCACCCAAGATTAAATGCAGCCCTCCTGGCACCAGGCAAGCTGCTGGCAGAGGCACAAATGGAAATAGCAGAAGGGAGGGAACACCTGCCAGGGACACACTTCCCAGTGCACTCGGGACGCCATGCCTGTTTCCTGAAACTAGTCTGATTGCAAAAGCGGCCCTTGGCGACCCTGCGGCTTTTGACAGCAAAAAGCCCACAGACCGGGCCGGGAGCAAGCAGCTAAGTATGTAGATGGCCCTGGGGCCTTCACAATGAACAGGAAGGAGCCTATGGTTACTCTTCTACTGTCTGTAATATTTCAGGTGGCAGAGGGCTCTCCGGTCTACTTGTGGGCTGAGGAACCAGCAAAGGACACCGTCTGCATCATTTTAACTTGGTGCCCAGATGGGATGGGGATTGGAGAGGTAAGAAGGACCTATGGGGACTGTGGGAGCCTGTTTTTGGGTTCCTTGTGGCTTTACCCAGCAGGTCCGCATAGAGGATGATTAGGACCACGGGCCTGAGTGCAGGTGTCTGAGATGGTCTGCACTTGGCTGTGCTGGGGGAGGAGGTCTTTTGCTCCACCCCTTGGCATCTCTGTAAATACCCTGGGGCAGAGACAGTCGGGGCCCTTTGGAGAAGGTTCCAGGCCCTCTCGAGGCTATCCTTTATTTTCTGTTTATCTCTGCAAGATTCTCCGCAATAAATCCTTCTATCTAATATTTCCTGCTGCTCACACTCAAGAAAACTCTGGGAAGTTGTGGGGTTGGTGGGTAAACGGCCCACAGGGGACCCAGCTGGAGATGGAGTCTGGGATGATGACACAGAGAGACCAGCTGGGAATGTGCAGCTTGCTTCTTATATAGCCTGGGGAGGCTGGCCTAGGTGTTACCCTATCGAAGAGGATTAGAAGTCACGGCTTCTGTTACAAATGCCTGCTCAGGAATCAAAGCAAACCCCTGAGCTATAGTTTAGATATTCTTTTTGTTGTTGTTGTTGTTTGTTTGTTTTGTTTTTGAGACAGGGTTTCTCTGTGTAGCTTTGCGCCTTTGCTGGAACTTACTTGGTAGGCCAGGCTGGCCTCGAACTCACAGAGATCTGCCTGCCTCTGCCTCCCAAGTGCTGGGATTAAAGATGTGCGCCACCACCGCCCGGCAGTTTGGATATTCTAAAAGAATGATGAAAGAACTATTGGGCCATAACCGGGAAGTGAGACCACCTTCTCTGGTTCATTATAGGCACAGTTCTGATCAGAAAGGACACACCATTGGTGCCTACATCATCCGAGGACTGTACGGCCTGGGACAGTCATACTGTTGTTACTTGGGGAGAGTTAATCTTGATTTATGATTTTCTATTTGATTGGCTTGAGAAGAGTCTAGGATCTTAGTAAAGATCTGGGGGTGTCTGTGGAATGCATTTCCAGGGAGGATGAGCTCAGGGGGAAGATACAGCTGGGTGTGGGCAGCACCCTCCCATAGGCTGGGGGCATGGATGTAACGAAAGCAGGCAGAGGGGGATGCCCACAGTGCAGGTTCTCTCTCTGCTTCCAGGCCACCCCTGTATCTGCTTGGTCTCACTCTCTCCACCACTGTCCATCGAAATCTCTGTAATCAGGGGCTCAAATAAATCACCAAGATGAAAAAGTTCTGCCTAGCACCCACTCCATGGCCAATTCAGTGTCCCGGCTTAGACTATATTCCCTCTTACGCGGTCCAGTGAAATCTTGTGAATTCTTCAAAGTCAAGCTTAAGATTTGTGTACTTTCTCTTACATCCATTCCTTCCTCCTTTAAATACTTCCAAAATGGCGTTAGAGGCTACACTTACTTGTGTTTAATTAATAACTTAATCGTTACTTGGGCATTTTCTTCAAGGACCTGCAAGGTTGTTTCTAGGGAGAAATCACATATCTCTACTGTCTTGCATCCCTCAGTAGACCCTGGCGAGGCTTGCTGTAGCATAGGTCTGCCAAAGATATCACCTGATTGATGATTGTGGGTTTTACCCATTAACATAAGAGAACACAGTCCTTTTCCAGCATTACACACTCTGATTTTTTTTTAATTTTAAAATTTCAAAAAATAATATGTCTATATTTCAGAGAATAGCATTTGAACATGGAAATTAGTTTAATATGTAAAAGAGAACCTGATATAAATAGGGGCAGGGGGTTTGTGGTGGTGGTGGTGGATCTCAGCTGTGGAGAAGTCACTAGTTGGCTAAGGCCATTGTGATGGCTAATCTCGGTTGTCAACCTGATTGCCCCATGGAATCAAAACAAAAGCCACTAGGCACTCCCGTGAGGGACTTTCTTGTTCAAATTGTTTGAAGACCCACCCTAAATGTGGGTGGCACCTTCTGGTGGCAGCCCAGATAAGGGGACAAAGGGAAGCTGATTTTTGCATGCTTGCTTTCACTCTTGTTGACAAGCCCATCTATTCTGCTGCTGTGGCATTCCTTCATCCATATCAAGATTACTTTCTTTAGGATTCTGTTGTAGACCGAAGACGAGCAGCTCTCCAGGACTCCTCCAGGCCTTCGGGACTGCAGAGACATCCAGACTCATGGACTGAATAACCACTGGATTCTCAGCCTCTCCAGTGTGTGAGAGCCATTGTTGGGCCACCCAGGCCATCCTGAAAGCCTGTCTAGTAATCCTCCTTTACTGTATGTATTCTTCCTGTCAGTTCTGTTCCTGTAGAGGACCTTGACTAAGACAGTCACTGGGGGTGGGGTGGGGGGGTCTCACCTAGTGACATTCCTAATTGCATTCCCATGAGTCACCTGGTCCCGTATGGGACACAACAGAAGGCTGAATAACCCACCCCTCCCCACTCCCCAGTTTCTCATTTTCGGCAACCAAGAACTTCTTTGCTTTTCGCTTACCCCTCTCTTTCTCAGCAGATCTCATATCTCATTTTTTCGGACGTTTTCTTTTTTCTCCTACTAAATGGTAATCATTTGTACATTTCCCTTATAAGATATTAGCTGTGAGTCTACAGAAGCAATGAGGTAGTCTCAGTGGCCTCAGCTGGACCAGGGAGTCAGCGCATGGAAGTGGCAGAGTTCTTCTTCTCGAGAGGAGAGCCTGGGGTTTCATTAGCTTGTGCAGTCACGTCTCTATACAACACTGACTTGGCTTGTGAAAGCTCTGAACTGAGCCCATTGATGTCCCCCCTTTCTGTTTAATCTTGAAGGGGCCAAGAATCTCTAGGGCTGACACATTTTGGAGAAGGAACACTCTGAGCTGCTCCCTCACACTTGTGAAACCCCACACTTCCATAGTTTTACTTGATGAATGGTGTGATTAAATCCATCTGACTATTTGATCTATTCAAAGCCTCCATCGCGACCTTAGCTAGATAAGCTGGTTTTGGGGTTTGAACCCCAACTGATGCTTTCTTGAGAAAGGGAGGTGGAGAGACTAATTACGCAAATTTACACACACACACACACACACACACACACACACACACACACACACGTATACAATTCAAACGTTTGAGTTACCTGAGGTTTTCTGAACTGAATTCCGACTCCAGGAACCGAAGGAACTGGTCCCGCCCCACCTGGTCCTTCAGTATCTCGTCGAAAGAGAAACCCCATCGTTTTACTCGCTGCTGACTGGGCTCTTTGCTTTGGGGTTTGGAAGAGAAGGTTTGAAAAACGATCAGTCTCAAACAAAAGCCGCCGTCATCGTCTCCCTGATAAATCTGTTTTGCCACCACACGTCAAGGAGAACCATCTCAGGGGTAAGTGACAGATACCACAAACCCCACATAAATTCCACGTGTACACTTTTACACACCAACGGTAACAGGCGGTAAACAGTTTCTGAAACGGGGCAAGTGAAAAGGTCTTGGTTGGTGAGGGTCACCGAAGTACCCAGCAAATGAGTGCTGTCTATAGGAAGCGTATCCCCACCACTGATGGGGCCTCCCTGGACCACTCCCATCAGTTACAGATCCAACTTCCAACTCCATCCTTTTTGTGCTTTTCCTGTTACCCAGGATACCTCACGAATCCAACCTTTTGTCTCGGAAACTGGCTCCCCATCTTCTGTCTCTTCTTCAGTATACAGAGGAGAGGTCGGCCTCTGATTAGAGTTGAGTGATATACTGGTTATGAATGCATGGACTCAACCAGAATACATCACATTCACTTGCTTGGAAACAGCATGCTGCCTTTGCCCGTGGCTCTGGCCCCTCCACAGTGTTGGTGGTGTGCTAGACATCGTTGTAAGCACTCTGCATCTACCTGCTGATGGGCTGAGTCCTGCTAGCTGCTCTGTGAAGAATGCTAGGGCTGTTTCCATGTTCTGGATAGGGAGACTGAGGTCTAGTTATCACTTGTCTTGGGACTCGTAGCTGGGAAGTGATGGAATCAAGAATCCGTTCTAGCTGTGTGGCTCCAGAACACAGCCTTCAGCTTTCAGCTCATGCCTGCCCTGCGACCTCACAGCCACATGGAAGAAGTGGGATTGGCCATATTCCTCCGATGCTGAACCCCTACAATAACTCCTTCAGATTCTCTCCCCCCACATGAAGTCCATCGGCCGACCCTTCATGAGACAATAGCCCCTACTTCACAAGCCACATGCTGGGGCCTCCCCCTCCCTCCCCACCCCCAGCCCGACTCAAGGTGTGGTCTGCAGGAGCTGCTGAACTAGAAGCTCCAGTTTCACAAGGGTCCCCAGAGACTTAGTAACAACAACACTTGGGAACCCCTGGTCTAGACAGTTTTTTTTCCCTTTTAGAGACAGATAGGCTCTTGATCATCCCTAACAGTCAGTATATAAGATCATGGGTTTTTCTTATTATAGAGTTGACATAGTCTCCATATTTATCTCAGAAGAGAACTAGTGCACTGAAGTGCTTAAAAAAGCAAGTAATTCTCAGCCTGAGCAGGAAGAGCCATTTTACATTCGTGCTTTGCAGGCTTGGGGCCACCATCCACTTATGTATGCACTGAGGGCCAGCTAGGCACCAGTATGGTTGATGACCTGAAGTCAAATTTAAAATTAAAGTAATTAAAGTTTAAATTTAAATAGTCATCTGTGGCCAGGGGCTGTGGTACCTGATATACGATCTAGACGTAAGCCATTCAAACCAGTGTCTTCTGTGTCTAGGGCAGTGACCAATAGATTGTATATGTGGGGATCAGGGAGGCTTGTGCAATATGACTTAGCATTCCCAGGCATAGCTCAGTAGTGTCATGGTAGATGGCTAAATCTACTAGGTTAGGCCATGGAAAATTCCCCCATAAACGATCTCTTGCAAAGTATCAGACTGGGCTTTTCACAATAAGACATGGCAAAAGATAATCCTGGATTCTCTTGGAAACAAACCACACAATTAATCGAAGTTGGTAACTTTCTAAGGATCAAACGTCCTGGTTGTGGAGACAGTCACCTGGAGTTGAGACTATCAGCAAATTTAAGTCCCCAAGATCTGTAGAAATATTCTTCCTCCAGGGTTGTGCTCTGACCTGGGACAGAGATATAAAATCCGCTCTTTACCAGGCAATGATTCAAGGTTCTACAGACGAGCTGGTGGTAGCTGCGTCCTCATCAAAGGCTGTGCCTAGAGACTTGTGTAGAGTGACTCGGTCTTTTTAACAACTGTCTCGTGGATGCACACTCACCACCACCGCCACCACTTTCTGATGACAGGTGGTGAGCCCATGCTCACCCCACCAGATTCCCTGGTGGCGGGAGGATTGGGAAAGGGGCAGCCTCAGGGTGTGTCAGAAACCTTGGAATGCCTCTGTAGGTACAGAATTAGAGCGAGGACTCGCACAGAAGTCAGAGGTGCCCCCCAAGGTACAGGATCACCACCCTTTAGCACGAATGAGAAGGTCTGGGAAGACAATATCCCCCGGGGTAGTCTATGGCAGCCATAATAACATCTTAACACAATGAGTGCCTTCCGACAACTGAAGTGTTTGGCCTCACAGTTCCAGCGGCTGGAAAGCCAGACCCAGGGTGTTAGCAGGAACATGCTTGCTCTGAGGGCTTTGGAGGAAAATCTTTCTGTGTCTTTCCCTCAAGTTCTGGTGCTACAATCCTTGGCTACAGACGTACTGCGGAATCACCTGTTTTGTCACATGGCTTCTTTCCTGTGTTTCTGAGTCTACACATTCCCTCTTCATGTGTGTGTCTGCATCTCCTTCTTTTCTTTCAAAGGCACCAGCTGTGTAGACAAAGGGCATGCTCTACTCCAGGATGATCTCAGTCGTATTAATTATGTCTATTACACTATTTCCAAATAGATCAGATCTTGGGGGTTCTAGGGAGGACACAGATCTTAAGTTGACACTGTTCAATCCAGTTCCCCGAGTCTTCTCAGCTACCTGCCATTCCTAGTCCATTTCTGTAACTTACCCTCCACACAGGCTCTCCTACCCAGTTGGGACTCTGCTCTGTTGAAAGCCTCTTGCGTACAACATCCCCTTTACCCCTTTCCTTCATCTCTTGGGTATTTCCAACATCACCTATTTTAAGGTTCAAGAACAGATCTGAACTCATGGCCACCACTGAATGTTATTTTTCATTTATGAAAATAATTTTTAAAGAATGAAATTTCTTGATGTCCTTCCCCAGGTGTGATAGTTTTAATTTCAACTTGACACAGCTTAGAATCACCGGGAAAGAGTCTCAATGAGGGATGGTCTAGAGGGGACATCTTCTCAATTAGGGTTCCCACTTCCCAAATAACCCTAGCTTGTTCCATAAACCAGTCTACACAGCTACATAGGAACATGCTCTTCCAGTAAGACCTACAAGGTGTGAGGAAAGGCAAAGAGCTTTCCTTACTCTGATTCTAGTGTCTCTTTGAACTCCAGTATAAGCCAGGAGGTAGATCAATGCTCCATGTTCAGAAGACCGCAGAGATGCATGTAACAACTACCTAGACTCGGACGCCTGGTGTGTCTGTCTCCAACATCCATTCTTTCTTGTTCCCCACACTACATTGCCTTCTACTTCCTGTTCCTCATCTGATGTCTAAACGCAGGCTTGAGAAAAGCTGTAAGCTATCTTCAAAAGACTCAAGCTGTGTTATCAATGATTGTTTGCCTCCTTCCTTAGATTTGAATGTTGAAATTCTCACTGCCAATGTGATGTGTCTGGGTGCGGGGCCCATGGAGGTGATCGGTTCATAAATGGAATTAGTGTTCTTAGGAAAGACCCAGAGAACCCCCTCACCCTTCTACCATGTAAGGATGCAGCAAGAAGCTGGCCATCAATGAACCAGTAAGAGGACTGTCAATCATACAGTGACTCTCCAGGTGCTTTGCTCTTCTGCCTCCCAGTCTTCTGAACCGTGAGAAGTAAATACATGGTATTTGGAAGTTACATACATGGTGTTTTGTTTGTTTGTTTGTTTCAGCCACCCTAATGGGCTGATGCAAACATTGGTACCAAGAGTGGAATGCTGCCATAACACATACTTAAAAATGGGAAAGGGTGGTAAAGACAGGCCAGAAGAAGTTTAAAGTGTTTGCTGAGAATGGACCCATAAAGATGAGTGTGTGTGTGTGTGTGTGTGTGTGTGTGTGTGCGCGCGCGTGGGCACACGCGCTGAGAAAACAAATATAAATGCTGAAGAGAGACCCCTATTCTTCTTAGATAATGCTTAAATCCTTCAGAACGAGCATTAATGAACGGTGAAGGCTGTGCTGACAAATCTCAGATGAACATAAGGATTTTAGAGGAAGGGTGATTCTTGTTATAAAGTGCCAGAGATGGGCTGGACTCTGTCTGAGTGCTAGTAAAAGGCAGGACTTGCAAGCCATGGTTCTACATATTCAGCCAAGGAAGTTTCTAAGCCACGTGTTGAAGGAGTAACTTGACTCTTCCTAACTGCTTTTAGTAGTACATAAAGAGAGAGGAATGAGCTAAAGACAGAATTGTTAGCCAAAAGGAACTCAAACCTAAATAAGGATCGAGAAAATTCCTGGCTTATTTGTGTTCTGACACACAAGCAAACAACAGAACAAAAAAGAGACTGTGACTGGTGTGGCCAGTGCCTGCTACAAGGACACAGTAGGACTCAGTCATCCAGACAAAAGCCAGGAGCTATTCTGGGGGACAATAGGAAGATGATTCAGAGACAGCTAGGCCTGTGACTCTCATTATAGGCTCAGACTGCTGCAACCATGGGGACCTGGGGATGAGACAGTTGCAATAGGTGTAGCCATCTTTCTAGTTCATGCGGTCTGGGATGCCATGCCTGGTACTTCTAGGATAGGTGGACTGGGACCAGTGGAGCTAACTGGACAAGCCTCCATGGCAGAGCTGCAGGGTAGTGGACCAGCCCAGGAAAGCTGCAAAGACGTGGCAGAGAGAGGACATTCAATGAGCTGTGAATGATGCTGCCACCCAAATGGGCGTAGAAAACAGAACATCGGCTCAGAAAAGCCGAAGAGCTGTGGAGGTGGGTTCGCTGCCTCAGTGAGTCAGTCTATTGTCTCAGTGTGGGTCTGACAGGCACAGCATCAAGACAAAGAGAATTAGTCTTGGATTAAAGCCCTAACTTCATCCTATTGTTCTTGTTTCCCACTTCTTCTCTTATTGGAATGGAAATGTCTGTCTTAACCTTCCCATCATTGGAGTTTGGAAATAATGTGCCTCATTG